GCCAGGATCCGAGAGGGGCAGAGGAATTGAAGCTGGCACGGCAGGGCTGGCTGCGCGCAAAGCAAACGCCCTACCACTGTGCTATCGCTCCAGCCCCTCTTTAATCCAAGAAGAGGGGATTTGTTGCTATTTCTTTGTGTGTCACTTTCACTGTCACTGTCACTATCACTGTCCTCCCGTTGTTCATTGATTTGCTTGAGCGGGCCCAGTAACATCTCCATTGTGAGACTTGTTAGTGTGTTTGGCATATCAAATACTCATGGGTAGTTTGCCAGGCTTTGCTGAGCGGGCGAGATACTCTCAGTAGCTTGCAGGGCTCTCCAAGAGGGGTGAAGGAATTGAACCCGGGTCGGTCTGGTCAGCCGCAGGCAAGGCAAATGCCTGTTTTATAGTTTTCTTTGTAAAAGTTTTTTGTTTGTTTTGTTTTGGGGCCATACCCAAATGCTCAGAGTTACTCCTGGTTCTGCACTCAGGTACTCAGTTAGTAAGTACTCAGGCAGTACTTGGGGGAATTAGGGGATGCTAGGGATCAAACTCAGCCGAGTGCCTTAGCCTTCAGGCCCTATTGACAGTTTTTGTTTTTGAAGTAAATAGATTTTATTTGGAGGATTTTTAGGTATGGAGGGAGAGAGAGAGTGAGAGTAATGTACTGAAGAGAGAACACGGGCTTCTCCAAGGGCAGAGAGAGAGCCCCTACACACATCCTAGCATTAGACACAGAAGCATGAAAGTACACATCTCAAGAGGGGAGATGCGGGCAACACGTGTTCGGGCACCACATGTGCTCGGCCATGTGGGCGCAAGCAGCACATGGGCTCGGGCAGCATATGTGCCGACAGTTTTTTTTTTAAATCATGAATGAGTGTTGGATCTTATCAAATGCTTTCTCTGAATCTATTGATATGATCTTATGTTTTAAGTTTTTTGTATGTATATGGTCCATTATGTTGTTTGGCTTGCATATATTAAACCATCCTTGTATCCCCAGGATAAATCCTATTTGATCGTGGTATATGATCTTTTTGCTGTATTGTTGGATTTGGTTTGCTAATATTTTGTTGATAATCTTTGTATCTATGTCATCAAGAATATAGGTCGATAGTTTTCCCTTCCTTTTTTTTTTTTTTAATGTCTGTCTGCTTTTGTTTAGCACCTTCACACTTCTTGGAAACCCACAAGCCAGCTCTGTTGTTCAGGAGTGGGCCAGATGACAACTCCTGACCATGAGGTCCTGGTGCACACCTCCAGTGCTTAGCTGAGATTGAGGGCACACTGAGTGGTGTTGGGCAGAGCCGTGTGTTTTTTCTGAGCTGGTGGGCAGGGAAAGATTGCAGGTCCCCACAGTCCAGCATTACTGTTCATGCGCCCAGATGCTTGGACACTAAGCCAACCTGGAAGATAATTCAGGTTTGAAGTGATGGAAATGCTATACTTGATGGTGCCCTGTTTGTGCTAACACACACCCACTAAATCATCAAATGCTAAAACAACCACAGAGGGCAAGAGACATAGCCTAAAGGACTGAGAGCTTGCTTTGCCTGTAGGAGTCCCAGGTTCAATCCCTGGTACTGCATGATTTCCTGAGCTCTGATGGGGGTGACCCTAAGCATGGAGTCAGGAGGAGCCCCTGAGCACTTCTGGGTGTAGCCAGAACCCCAAACAAACATAAGATGTTACAGGCGATGGCTTTTTTCCAGCTGGTGATTCAGGGTCCCAGATTCCGTATAGTCATACAGTTACCTGCCCCAAAGCCCTGCATAAGTGGTATCGTGCACTGAAATTTTGTAGTCAGAGAGCCCTGGGGAGCCTGCGTCATTGTCACACAAGCCACCACTTATTACTCACATCTAGGGCCAGGCTAGCCAGGACAGGCTGCAAAGAGCAGTGAGATGTTGTTTGCAGTCTCAGCCACACCTCACAGTTCTTAATCACCGGACCCCACCCACCTCTCCAGGTTGAGTCTGATGCTCCCACCTCACTCACAGGCAGCCTTAAGATTCCATGAGCAATTTCCCTGCCAGGCCAATGCTCGCGTTACACAGTCTACTCAACTCTCTGGAGTACTTTGTTGGTTTGTCAGAGTCAGGGTCACTCCCAGCAGTGCTCAGAGGACTATGGTTTCCAGGGATCAAACCTGGATCTATGGCATGTTCCCCCTAGCCCCCTGAAACCCTCTTTACCCTCACAGTTCCTTCCATCCATCCATCCATCCATCCGTCCATCCATCCATCCGTCCATCCACCCATCCATCCTGCCAGATTTCTTGACCATCTGTCCATCCATCTAACAAATATATTTGAATATTGAACATGTGCAGGGCACTAAAGTGTTGGGGATATCATAGTGAACAAAACAGAAAATAAACTCCTGTCCTCGTATTGCTAATGCTCCAGCAGACAATGATAAACAAGACCAAAGAGAACAGCTGTCCAGACCATGAGATGAAGCAAGGCTGGAAATAAGCAACTAGAGGAAGGAATTTAGGAGTAGGGGCAGCAATTTAAAGAAAGGTGGCATCTGGGAAAGGAGGTGAGAGTCCTGAGAGGTATGGGGAGAGGGAACAGCATGTACAAAGGCCCTGAGGTGGGAGTGACCCTATGTGCTTGAGGATAGCAGGGAGACATACAGGGTGGAAATAGGGTGGATAGAAAGGTCAGAAGTTACTGGAACTTTGCAGTGCAGGGCTGGGAGACGACTCCTTCCAAAGTCTACCCATGCTGGAAACACCAATCTGCCCCCTCCCCGTCTCACCCACACACGCTTTAAAAAATTCCCTCTTTCTCTCATTGCTGTTGAGATGGGAGTTGGGGAAATCACACACACACACACACACACACACACACACACACACACACACACACGGCTGTGGTCCTTGACAAGGTGACATCTCAGGTTGTGGTGCTTGCACTCTGGGTCATGGTGTCCACTTAAGTTTGTGCTCCTTGAGCAGTAATGCTGGTACACAAACACACCAGGTCTCACTCTTTGTTGAGGCAGAGTTTGGATTCTGGAGCCACACATGGCAGTGCTCAGGCAGTGCTCTGGCTCTGCAATCAGGATCACTCCTGGCAGGGCGAGCATACAGGGTGCTGGGACCAAACCAAGGTCAGCAGTGTGCAAGGCAAGCACCCTACCCACTGTCCTCTCTCTCTAGCCCAGAGGCCCAGTTATGTTGTGGTGTTTCCCCGGGGTGATGCCATGCTCACACACGTCCTCACACATACCATGCTCCTGCATCCTGGCTGTGAAACTGTACGTCTTTCTGTCGTGGTGCTCGCCCCTCAGTGATGCTCGCCTCTGGCTGTATTGTGTCCCAAAAGCACTTGTGGTGCTTGGGATCAGTTGAGAGCTCCCAGAATCAAGTCTGGCAGATCCTGTTGCCTGGAGCCTTACTACGCACCTTCCCCTCAACTGTGGGTCCCATGAAGATGACCTCATTTCCTTTGGCCACCTCATATTCTTGTTGAATACATGACAGGTGTTTACTGTGACAAAGGGGCTGGCTTTCTGAGCAACTCAGCCTCCAGAGAAGGAAGGTGCAGTCTTCCCTGCCCACCCCCCACCCCACACACACACACATACACGCTGAGACATTAAGACAGATGACTTGGATTCCTGGCCTAGACTGCGGGTAGAACACCCAGTAATCTCTTCCTCTTCGTCTGTCTTGCTAGATTCCCTTCTGGGGTACTGGGGAATCAGACCGGATTCAGGCACATGCGAAGCAAGCACCTCACCTGCTGTACTATTCCTTTAGCCTCTGCACTGCTATACTTCTGACAACACCAGCCCATCACAGTGGTGCAGGTGATGGCCAAAGGCCTCAAAGGTGAGCTGTGGTGTCTAGTGGCCAGGCTGAGTGGCCTAGCTTGGGACTGACATTCTCCATTGTGCTCACCTCAGCCTCCAGCAGAAATGGATGAGCAGAGGTGGGTTGGGATCATGTTAGATATCCTTATCAGCAGGCAAAGATATTCCCAATTAGTTTACCCAGATGGCCGGTCAGCGGGTGTTGACACCCAGCCTGAGCACCCTCCCCGTGCCTGTAAGAATCAGATGCTGTTTTCACATCTCAAGACCCTCCCCAGGAGTGGCCCATCCATTTCTAACTGTGGGAGGCACTGGTGGGAGCCTGGGAGCTTCTGGATCTGGGGGTGGTGCTAGTGATGATGGCAGCAGGGGTCACATACTCCTGGGTTTGGTTCAGGCACCAAGGTCGGCTGCGCTGCATCCCATTCCTACAGTTACATCAAAGGCAGCTTCCTGTCCCAGTAGCCTTTGCTTTTCTTGTCCTTTGGGTGCTTTTGTAACCAGTCCTTGATCATTAACTCGTGGTGTGTGTGTGTGTGTGTGTGTGTGGCTGGGTGTGAGTTTGGAACACACCTAGGCGTGCTCAGGAGTGACCCCTGGCAGTGGTCTGGGGACCATATGTAGTGCCAGGATCAACAGGGGGTCTGCTGTAAGACAAGGCAAGCACCTTGGGGCTAGAGTGGGGTGTTTGCTTTGCATGCAACCGGGTTTGATCCCTGGTATTCCCATGTGGTCTACAGAGCCTGCTAGCAGTGATTCCTGAGTAGACCCAGGAGTAAGCCCTGAGCTCCACTGGGCATACGCCACCACCCCTCCGCAAAAAAAAAAAAAAAAAAAAAAAAGTGGTACCTATATCTCCCTACTCTCTCCATCCCAGCTGCCCTCTGTTTGACACACTCAAATTTCTGTTTGCCTGATTGCAGCTGGTAATCCCAGGAACGGGAAGCTGTTCACATTTTCCAACAAGGCAGCCTGGGGGCTCCATTCTGTCTGGACTGGACGGGCACACAGAAACGTCCCCTTGCTACAGAAGCTAGTCAGCGAAGGCTCATACCACTGAAAGCTTCTGTGGGTGTTAAGTACACTGGGCAAGACCCCACCCACCACATCTAGGAGACCGAGGCTGCTGAGGGTGGGTGTGGCCGGCTGCTCTGGAGTCGGCACGAATGACAGGCACAAACCCGCAAGGCGTCTCGGCAGCCAGTCTCTTTAATACCCTGCGGCTGAGACACCACGATGCTGAGAGGGGCCTCCCCGGGACCCCGCAGGTCACAGAGTGACTAACTGGATTCACAGACTCACCGGACCTCCCATGTGGAATTCAGGAAATGGGGTTTAGAAGGAGTGGGACCCTGAGAATAGCAAAGGGGACATGAGTGTGGACTGGAACCCGGCCAGAGGCCTGAGCCGAGAAAGGAAACTGCATGTGCGCCGAGGTCAGGCAATTCTGGGCACCACTTCCCTGCGTGCATGGCACTGCCCGCTCAACCGGCCACTATTCTTGAGCCAGAGGCCACTCTGTCTTCCAGCGAGTAGGAAGGCAGCCCAGGACCCAAGACCACCCAACATGCCCAGGTGTGTGCTTGCGCGCAGACACAGCATCGCTCTGAGAGGATGGAAAACCGCGTGGACCCTGCCCGCTGCCTTCCTGTGGTGGGGACTGCAGCGGTGACACCCCGTCCTTTGCACCTGAAAAACTAGGACGAAGAACTGGGACCCCACATACCTGCCATGCTCATCCCCGTGGGGCTCCAGGGCCTCCCACTACCTGTGCAGGGCATCCCCTGCCTCATACCAGGCCTAACGAGCTGCCACCCCTTCTTCCCTGTGACATCACCCAGCAGCCTTGCAGGTGGACAGCGCCCGTGGCAGGAGTCATGCTGTGAGGAGAGGACGTGGTTGGGCAGGATGGCCAGGACCACGGCCCCTGGCATGCCCCTCACCATGGACACATGACAGCTGCCACGCCCACTTCCGCCACACACCCTGGCCTCAGTCTCCTTCGGTCACTTGGATTGATGTGGGGAAGAACAGGCAGTGGGGGGAGGGGACTCCCCACAGCAGCCCAGTGGGGGAATAGCACGGCCACCGTGGCCCAGACCCCACGCTGACAGGTCCCGAGTAGGAAAGGCACATGAGCTGCCACTGAGCCTGACGGGGCAAGGAAGGGACATTCAGGGAGCAGGACGGGGCAGGAGGGCCTGGGCCCTCTGAGGGGAGTAGCGGGAGGGTGAGGGGACACCAGGCGGGGTAGCACCGAGGCTGTGGGGCGCAGATGGACAGCCGTCTGCAGTGGAGTGGGGCCTGCAGTGGCCGAGGCCTTGGAGCAGGAGGAGGCGTCTTAAGGCAGCCTGAGGTGAGCCTGGGGGCCACCCCCGGGAACTGGGGACGAGCTGTCTGTTGGCCTGGGGCCACACAGGATCCCCGAGTTCCCTGTGCCTCGAGTTCAAGTACTGTGTTCGCGTGCTAGGCTGAGCGGGGGCACCTGCGGCCAGACACAGTTTGCAGGGCCAGAGGTGCAGGGGAGAGAAGTGGGACGCTCCCCTCCGCCTTAACTTGGGGTCAGCCTGTAGGCCTGTCGCTGCTGAGGGTGTCTTCCCATGCACAAGGGCTTCCTGGCACTGGGTCACTTGCCCCGCAGGGACACGCGGCAGCAGAGCAGCAGGGAGGTCTCAGGACTGCGCCCTGCTCTGCCTGGGGCCAGCATGAACAGCTGACAGATTGGGACGGGAGTGGGGACGTTGGGGGGTGGGGGCTAGCCGGGAGTGGGGGCCCGGGTCTGGGGTCTATGACTCATTCTCTTCTCAAGCAGCACCGGGAATGGGGCAGCCCCAGCCTAGGAAGGGACGTGGCAGCGAACTCACCTCTTTCCAGCCATTTCCTCCTGTCCCAGGTTTCCCAGCAACAGGGACGGCCCGGGGGTTCTATGGCATCTTGCAATAGCCCTTTGCCGACAGAGCGGAGGAGCACCGTGGGGAGGATGGGTGGGAGGGCACCCGGCTCCCAGAGGCCAGGGAAGGCCTAGAGGAGCTGGGACAGGAAGGGGGTGGGTGACGCTGCCGGGTGACTGGGCCGGGGCACTCCCAGCAGGCAGCCGGCCAGGCCCCAATCTGTGTGGCTCTCAGTGTCCCTGCCCGAGGCAGGAAAACGTGTGCACAATGTCTGGGGTGGGGGCCCGTGACCTGCCTCGGGGTGTGGGGTCAGTGTTGAAAGAACAAAGAGGTGAACGGAAAGGTGACTCAGCACGAACAGGAGGCACCGCCTGGGCAACCAGCACCCCAGCCCCCAGCCCCGAGGCAGCTCCAGCTCCAGACCAGCAGGGCGCACCTCACAAGCTTTGCCAGGACCCTGGTCCCCAGCTCTCCCCAGGGAGGGCCCCCGGAAAGGTCAGCGCCACCGATGAAGGGGTGCTAGCACACTTCCCAGGTCTCACCAGGAAGGCGAGGCGGAAGCGGGGGTGACACCCGGAGCCCAGACAGGTGACAAAAGCCCCGCCTCAACTTGACCCCGAAAGAGAAAGATGCTCTGCAGATGCTCAGCGTCCTGCCACAGGGAGGCAAGGGCACTTTCCAAGGGGAGCCAGCCCCAGCCCCGTCCCGAGGGTCCTCTCTGGGGGAGCTCAGCTGCAGGGTGGACACTGGTGACAGGCTGCCCCTGGAACTGGCTCCTGGCTGTTGGGGGCGACCTGGAGCGGACAGAGGGGTGCGCCCCCCCTTGGGTATGCATGTGTGTGTATGGTGGGGGTGTGTGTGCTGTGGGCTCCAGAGCACAGGAGCTGGAGGAAGGGGCGGGACAGCACTGGTGGCAGCCACAGCCTGGCGCGCTGCCCCCGTGAAGTTGGCACACGAGGTTTCTTATTGCTCCTCTGGGCTCAGGGAATGGCATCCCAAGCTGCAGAGAGGAGGAGGCTGACCTGGTAGGCCGGTGGGGGGCAGGGCCGAGTCAGTCCTCACGCTCCCAGACAGGGGGCTCGCCGCAGGTGGGGCCTGACTGGGGCCACACTGGGCTCTGCCGTGTCTCTGCGGAGCGAGGCCCCCGCCCCGGGCCACAGTGGTGGGGGCATGCCCATGCCGGCCACCGCCTCCAGGGCCTGCAGAGCAGCGTCCTGACAAAAGAACTCCGAGTCCGTCCCCGGTGGGACCAGGTTTCCTGAGAGCTCGCCGGCTGGCCGGTGGTGGCCTGAGCAAGGGTCTGGGCTCAGCGCTCGGCTCCGTGGCAGGGCTACGGCTGCAGGCGCTCCAAGTACTGTGGCAGGGGGTTCTCTTTGACGTATTTCTGGATGTACCAGCACGTGAGATGGGCCTTCAGGTCCTCCTCCACCACGAAGTCCAATGCGGCCTGGCCAGGGGCAGAACGAAACAGCGTCAGCACCCTGGGGTGCCACCTGGAACCTCAGCTCCCGGGGAGGCGCTGGCACGCCCCCTCCTCCAGCTGGGGAGATGAAGGCAGAAAGTTCTAGAAGGTGGCCCCAAACCACACAGCATGTTAGAGAGCTAGCAGGCCCATTTGGACCCAGTGTGAGGACAGAACCACCAGAGCTGCCCTGGCAGAGGAGGTAAGGCACACCTCTGAGGCGCAGGATGGGACCGGGCAGGACTTGGCTGGGGAGCCCTGCCCGCCCAACTGGCCTCCTCCTGCCTCCCTCAGCTCTTCCTTTCCACATATCATGGAAACAGCAGCTCGCCAGAAGCCCAGCTCCTTCCTCTCTACTTTTTTTTTTGGGGGGGGGTGCTTTTTGGGTCACTTCTAGTGATGCTCAGGGGTCACTTCTGGCTCTGCACTCAGGAATCACCCCTGGCAGTGCTCAGGGGACTGCATGGGATGCTGGGGATAGAAACCCGGTTGGCTGCTCTCAAGGCAAACACCCTACCCACTGCCGGATTGCTCTGGCCCCGACCTCAGCCCCGTCTGCACCCGTACGCCATAGCTGGTTGTCACAGGCTCCCGAAAGCAAACAGGGGGACAAACCTGGGTGCCTGTGTTCAGAGGCCCCTGGAGGACGCCCGGCGTGCTGGCCGGCCTGGTGAAGCGAGGCAGCAGGACCTGAACACTTATTACACGCCCGGCAGCGAAGGGTCTGGCTCCTCTGAATCTGAGTCAAGTCTTTGTCACCTGCTGTCCTGCCCTGAGCCTGGTCCATCTCACCCCCCAGACCCTTCCCTGTAGGGTCCAGTGTACGTGCCCAAGCCGCAGGTATGGGAGAGGAGACGCTGTGGAAACGCCAAGGGAAGTGCCAAATGACCTGGGCAGGGTGGGCAGCAGCTCCTCAGGGAGAAAGTGGGGAGGCCCCACCCCCAATTTTACCTGCAGTGACCCACAGGGGATCCTCCTTGGTCACACCTGGGTGAAAGGAGAAGGTGGCCAGGGCTTTACCCACCCGTGCCGCGGCAAGGAAGGCAGGCAGCCGGCAGGAGCAGCGGCCCCAGCAGGTTTCGGGCCCTTCTTAGTGCCAGGCTGCCCCTCTCTCTGGGGTGTGCTGGGGGTGTGAAGAGGGGCACGTGCCAACGTACTCCATCCCAGGACACAGCATGATGCCGAGCGTGGGGAGGGCAAAGCCATGCCTGGCACTAGCTGGCACTCTGCTCCCGGGGGCACAACCTACCTTGGCGAGGTGCTTGGCGATGCCACGGCCGCGGTAGGCGTCAGGGACCTCGGTGTGCTGCAGGTCCACGGTGCGCTTGCCCACGTACTCGTAGAGCAGGACAGCCCGGTCATGGCACCCTGTGGGATGGAGGCGCACGGGTGAGGCCGCAGGGGCTGGGGGCCGGCCAGGCAGGGGCTGGGGCGGGGCTGGCCTCTGTGACCAGGCCGATGGGGCTGCACCTCGGGAAACCCCTCTGTGCCTCAGTTTCCTCCTTCAGAAAGTGGGGAGGCAACGTCACATTCCTGCCGCAAGGGATCAGTGAGGAGGTGGTTTGGGGAGGCACTGCTAGTCCCGGCACCCCCACAAACCAAAGGGGCTGGCCGGGATATGTGAATGGACTGCCATGGACATGTCAGAGCCCAGCCTGCAACTGACCCTGGGCCCAGGGAGGAGGACAGGGCTGTCCTTGCCCCCTGACCCGACTCCTGCTTGGGCAGATGTCCTCCACTGCGCTAGCAGGGTTCACTCTCTCCCACCTGCCAGCCCGACCCCTCCATGCACCTATTCGTCCGGCTCACCTACTCCTCTCCAGAAACAAGCCCCAGGACTGGACACTGTGCCAGGGACACTGCAAGCACAGAAGTCTAAAGTCTCATAGAAGGGACACAGGCAGGCTCTGAGCAACAGCACAGCGGGTAGGGCACTTGCCTTGCATGTGGCCGACCGGGTTCGATCCCCTGCATCCCACATGATCCCATGAGCTGCTGGGAGTGATTACTGAGCACTGCCAGGTATGGCCCCCCCAATTTTTTTTTTAAAATTAAGGCACATGAAGGGGAGGCTGAGAACAGACCAGAAGAACAAGTTCACGGCACAGCAGGGGCAGAAGATGGGTTGCTGAGACACAGAGAACCCTGAAGAGGAGTGGCCTTGGGGAACTGGTGTCTTAGCAGAGGGAACCAAAGCAGAAGCAAAAGCTCTGAGGCAGGAATGCGGACCGGGTGACTGAGCAGAGACGGGAGGGGCCGGGCTGGGACAGCCTTGTGGCCTGGAGGGCCGGGCACCAGGGGTCACGGGCACCAGCTTGATCCTTCTCTCATGGCCCCCCCAGTGCTCTGAGAACAGCCTGGGGCAGGAACAGGGAGAGCAAGGGGGTGGTGACGGGGTATGGCTGGGGCAGGGAGGGGGACAGGCTGCCAGTGTTCTGGGTACAGCAGGCAGACTGCGGGCAACTCAGCTGAAAAAGTGAAAGGGAGTGAGGCCAGCCCCACGGAGCTGGGGGGACGCGGGCACTCAGCAACAGTGGTCAGGGGACCCTCCTATGAGAAACCCGGAGCGGGAGGCCACTGTAGGGAAGTGGAAAAATAACACTGGCTGGGCAAAGGTCCCGTGGCTGGTCTTCAAAGGCACACCAATGTCCACATCTTTCTCTGCTCTTCAGGAAGCAATCCCCTTTTGGCTTAAAGCAAAAAAGGGGCCAGCAGAGAGAGAGAGAGAGTACGGTGGGCAAGGTCCTTGCCTTGCATGGGGCCAACCACGTTCAATCTCTGACTCCCCCATATGGTCTCCTGGGCCCCACCAGGAGGGATCCCTGAGAAAAAAAAGCATCTCTTTTGCTTTGACTTTAAAAGACCATGAAGGATTTGTTCTTTGGGGTCCCTGGACTTCAAGCCTGTCACCTGTGTCAAAGCAGAAAAGAGTGACAGATGAAGGTCTCTGAGAAAATCTGACAGAGAGGGGGTCCAACCTCAGCTGGGGTTCCTCCCAGAGCACCCCCAGGGAGGCACAGCCCATCACCCTGTTCCACACTGGACACTAAAGTCCAGCTTGGCAGTGCATGGGAGTCCAGGTGACCATGGGGCCCAGCCCTCTGCCTCCTGTCTGGCCCCGCTCCCTCTTCCCAGAAAGCCCACCCCCTTCCAAGACCCACCCAGGTGCCCAGTCCTGCCCCCCAGCCCCCAGTCGCCTCCTTGGAGCCTAATGCTGCCACTTTTCTCACCCACTGGCCACTCTGCTCCCTGCCCAGCCCAGCTCCTGCGTCCATGCAGGGGAGCAGAGACCGGGAGGCTCTTGTGAAGGCCCCGTTCCCAGGCACAGAGTTTTGGAGTTACTTGGCCACTGAGTTACTCAAAATCTCCATGGGACTGGCAGGATTCTGAGTGACAAACCTGAGGAGGTGAACAAAATGGACCAATTGCCCCCAGTGGAGGGAGCCAAGGAGAAGGGCAATTAGTGGGGCTTGAGGCAGCTACAGAAGCCAAACATGAGGAACACATTGGAAATTTCACTGCTGTGTGGACGCAGCGGGGTTAAATCTATCCCTACTCCACCACGCCTCAGCTCTGTGTTGGACAGAAGCATTCTGCAGGGCCCATCCTCCTTATACATAATGCCAGACTCGTAAGCAAGGAGCTGGAGTCAAGGGAGCAGAGAAGGGGGGCCATGCAGGCCACAACCCAGAGGAGAGAGCACAGGAGGCCTATCATGAGCACAGGAGACAAGGGGAATGAGAGGCACCTGCAAAGGCCCTGAGGCAGCACACTGCAGGAACAGCAAGAAGGCTGCTGGGGAGGGTGCATGCTGGAGGACCCAGGGTCAGGTCACAGTCCACTGAGAGGACCTTGGCCTTTGTCCTACCATCATCCACACACAGCAGGGAGGGGCCCCAGGCCCCTGCAAAGCAGCTAGTGTTCCTCTATTCACGAGTCTCACCCCCTTGATACTCCTGTAAGGGGCAGGACAGATCGTAAGAGCTCAAGGTACCTGCCCTTCTCTAGGCCCACCCCAGCTGGAGTCCCCAGCACTACATATGGTCGTGAGCACCACAAAAAGACAGCCCCGCGCACAGAGCCAGGAGTCACCCTGAGCATCGCCAGGTGTGGCCCAATCCCTCCCAAGCCCCCAATGTTCCTGGATAACCTCTTGGGTCCTAGAAGAACACATCCTGAGAAGGCCTGGGGTCCTCACTGGGGAGCCCCTTGAGCTTCTCACACAGATTCGGTCGCTGCCATGTTCCTAAGCCCTGCCCAGGGCAGACACATCCAAGAAGTATCTGCCCCGCAAACAATCTCTCCGTCTCTGTGCCAGACACGTCCTGGGGGTCTCCAGGCTGGTCCGGTGCCTCCCCAGCCCCGCTCTCTCCACACAGTCTGTGAGCGCTGGGTCACATGGGACACGGGAGCAAAGAGCCTGGAGAGGTTGGAGTGTCTGGGCTCACCTGAGAAGGTGGTTTGCTGCTGGGGTCAGTTTGAGAAAGAGGGGGGTACCTGCTCCCCACTGCCCGGCCCCACATGGGCCTGGGGAGGAATCGGGGCCCTTAGGGGCTGGAGTAGAAGTGCTGGTCTGTGGCCTGGGCAGGGCCTGAGGACAAGGCGCAGTTCCAACTGCCTGCACCTGACCGTGGCCCAACCATCCCCCTCCCACACATGCGGGAGCTCCCAGGTGGCCCTCCCCCAACCCCACGCTCAGGCCGAGATGCCCATCCTCTTGTTCTGTCTTCTCTCACACTCTGACCGACCCACTGGCAGGTCCAAGAACACAGTGACCCACTTGGGTCTGTAACCTGACCACTGGCGACCACTCCGCGGCCCCCCATGTGTGCCTGCAGACGCTGGGTCAGCTCCTGCCTGTCCTGGGAGCTCGATAGTGGTACCGGCCTCTTGGCTGCTACACACACACAAATACACAGTTGCACAAAGAGAGAGACACACTCAGTTCTGACCTCTGCTCGCAGCAGGGGACTCTCTCCCAAGGCTGGTGCTCAGGGTTCAAAGGTGACCCGAATATTTTTTTCCTGAGGGCATCAGTAGAGGTGGGGTCAGTGGGTGTCCCAGGTCCCTGACACATGGTGACCCCATCCCCAGAATCTGGCCCCAAGAACATCACTAAACTGCACCCCAGTCTCTGATCTGGGCTGGGTTCTGGGGGTAGCCAAGAACCCCAAGTGTCAAACTGGCGAAGAGGGGCAGTGCTTGGCCCTGGGGGTGGGGGGAGTCACAGGAGTGATGGGCCAGCTCTCCAGGTGTCCGATGTGCCCGCTCTCCAGGTGTCCGATGTGCCCAAGGGCACTTGCATGCTGAGACAACCGCAAACCCTCCCCCGAGATGGGGATCTGGAGTCACCTTCTCCTCTGCCCCTGCCAGAGCCAAAGGCCCCAGAAAGCCATCGGGGGAAGGGGTCACCAAAAAAGTCTTCCTCGGGACCAGGGAGAGGGCTCAAAGGGCTGGAGCACGTGCTTTGCGTGTTTATCCCTGGCACTGCACGATCCCCCCCAACATCAACCAAAAGGAGCCCCCAAGCACCGTCATGCGTACCCAGTCCCCTGAAAAAGAGAAATTAAAAGAAACCATCTTCCTGGTAGGTGGGAGGAGCAGGGACACAGAGTCCCCAGCTCCAAGGGCAGTAGTGAGCTGCTTGGGTACTGGGAAGCTGCAGAGAAGCAAGTTGAGGGCAGCAGGTGCAGGTGCAGGTGCAGGGACTGGCATTCCCGAGCAACAGTGCTTGGATCCTGGCTCTGGGAGGGCCACGTATGGGGGCTTGGAGAGTTCTGTGTGAGGCCACGCCCTTCACAGCTGGGAGGTAGGTGGGATAGCGTCCGCTCCCCTCAGTGGACACCTGTCTCGCGAGGTCACTGTTATGGGCTTGGGGCAGGTGGCCCCTCAGTCCTGCAGGCACCAGGCCGGGCTGGGCTGGGACAGCCACTCCTATTGGGGTGCTCAGTCTTCCTGGCTGCAAGGGGGTCAGGGGTGTTGGAAGCACCCGGCTTCTGGACCTGCCTGGCCCCCCCACAAGGGTGTTTTGGCAGCAGCTGAGAGGGAAGCAGGAGACAGAAGAAAAGGCTGCTGGCGGGAGCATGCATCTAGCTCAGTCCCCTCTGCTGTGAGCCTTGGTTTCCCCACCAGCCTAGTACGGCCTCCCCTTCAATCTGGAGTCTTCTGCACTCCCTACCCGGGCGAGCAGATGGCCATCTCCCTGCTCCTATCCCCTCTGCAAAGCCAAGCCAGTGGTATCCTCCACCCCAACTCTGCTTCAGACCCTTCCAAGTGTCTGCCTCTCAGTCAAAGGCAAGTGCTTGGAACAGCTCCTGGAGATGCCCCACACCTCCCACCTTTACCTGTGCAATGATCCTCCTCCCTCTACAACTCCACTCCCTGCTGCTGCAGACACACGGTGGAGAAACACAGGGCCTTTGCACCTGCTGCACCTCCACCTTCAGAAGGCTCATTCCCCCCCAGCTCCCTTCCCTGCCCTCTTTCGGTTTTCCGGTCTTTGGGTCATACCATACCCAGGGCGGTGCCTAGACACTTGAATGGGAACAGGAGCCTTTTCCCGACACAGTCCCTGTTCTGCTTTCTTCCCAGGCCCACATGTTTGTTTTGATTTTGTGCCGCACCTGATGATGTTTAGAACTTACTCCTGGCTCTGCACTCAGGAATCACTCCTGGTGGGGCTCGGGGGGACTATAAGGATGCTGGGGATTGAACCCAGGTTGGCTGTGTGCAAGGCAAGTGCCCTAAACTGTTGTACTATCACTCTGGCCCCAAAGGCTCACATTTTCTAAGACTCTTTCCGCCCAAGCTTAGTCAGGCCTGCCAGTCCCAGCACCGAGAAACACAGCTGGGCACATGCGGGTGCTAAAGTCCCATGGAATGCATCCCAGTTCCTCCACCTCTGGGGTAGAGAATCCCCCACCATGCCTCTGCCTCGTCTGTAAAATGGGAATAGCAATTTTCCTACTCACACCCAAGGAGGATCATGTGGCTGGACATGCCAGGCCCCGCCTGGCACACAGCCAGCCACCTCCTCACGAAGCACCCGAGCCTGCTGGCAGCTCTCAGCCTCTCAACCATGGGGACAGCTTGGCACACAACCGTGGGACAGCCCCGGGCCACTGGATCTCTCTGTCCTGCTGGGTTCCGCTCAATGGACACAATGAACCCGCCTCAGGGTCTGCCCTGCAATGCAGGAGATCCCCAGGTCCCAGTGCTGGCAGAACTGAGACCAGAAACCGGTTCCCTCTTCCCGCAACCATCACCTTGGCTGCACGGTGCTCTCCTGGCATGCAGCACAAGGACTGAGGCCTGACCAGTGCCTGACGCACGGCCGGCAAATCCCCAGTTAACTTTTATTTATGTTTAGAAGCGACACCTGGTGTTGCTCAGGGATCAACTCCTGTTGGGGTGCCCGGCCCAGCTGTGTGAGACGGCAGAGCTGGGACCCAGACTGTGGCTGGCTGAGCCTGGCAAGCAGCTTCACTGCTGCACTCACTCGCTCGCGGACTGCCCTGCCCCCACTCAGTCCACTTAAGAGTTAGCCAGCTGGGCAGTGAATTCTGGAAGGGGGCAAGTTGAGACATACGAATGGGCATGTCCAGCCCTGACCACTGCCACCTCAAGAAAAGGCGTACTGGGGCTGGACGCATCTGGAAGAGACGGAAGAAAACCACAAACATTCCCTTTCTCTTGTGACTGAGTTCTAAAGGGCCTGCTGAGCACCCTCAGGAACCAGAAGTTTCTCTGGACTCTCAGAAAAGAGAATCTGGCCTGAGGGTCATGGCCAGCCGGGCCCACGTGGCGATGCACACTTAAGGACCGGCTGGTTAACTCTCAGGAGGAAGGAGCTTGTGCCGGATCAGCTGGCCGCCTTTCAGCTCTGGAACTGGGAGATGCCGGCAAGTCGCTCCTTCCCCGCAGGCCCACATCTCCCGACTGTTGGGACAGATGGGCGGAGTCTGGCTCAACGCCCAGCAGAGCCCAGAAGGGTCTGAGCAAAGCCCCAGGCCCAGCCCCTGCCCCGGTCACTCCAGCCAAATACAAGGGGGGGGGGGGGGGGGAGTATGGTTCTGGATCAGATCAGAAACAACCCGGTCCCAGTCCTGCCCACCTTACACCTCAGGGGGGCCTTTCCCTTCCTGGGCCTTCTCAGAAATGGGCACGGTGGCCTTGAGGCACCTTTCTGGGTTGCCCACTGGCAGAGGGAACCAGGCTGGGAGCGAGGGAAGTGATTAACACAGAAGGGGTAAGGTTTCTTTAGTTCTATTTTCCACCTTCCCCACCTCCCCCTCCCCACTGTAGGTTTTCTGTTTTGTTCTGATCTGTTAACTGGAATCTCAAATACAGACCCCCCAAAATAAAACAAACAAACAAAAAAACCCCAACAAGCATTTCTCTGGCGTGTAAGTGGGGGAAGAGAAAATAGAATCACGCCTCTAAGAAAGTGGAACCTTTCTTTGGCAGGAAACGAAGATCTGACTTTGGTTTTCGCCTTTGCAAACACCGCTCTGTCCACCTTTCGCAGGACTCACTACGTGCCGCAAACCTTACGCCGATCCTCACGGCGGGCAGCCGGGCAAAACCAGGCGCCCGGCAGGCGCTGGACACTCCCCGAGGCGCGCCGGGGAAACTGAGTCCCGGGCACGCGGCAACTTGGCCAAAGTCTCGGAGTTTCCTGGGGGCGACGCGACTACTCGGCCGCCCCGGCCCGGCCCCTCCGCGCGGCTCCCGGCGCGGCACGCGCGGAGCAGGTGCGGGTCCCCCCAGAGGGCCGCGGCGGGGGTCGCGCAGCCCCGCCCGCGCGCGCGCGCGCCCGCCCCGCCCGCCCCCGGCCCCGGCCCGCGGCGCCGCAGACAAAAGGCGGGGGCGGGCCCGCGCGTTACCGTTGAGCCGGACGCTGAACTGGCGGCGCCGGCGGTCGTGCTCCACGCGGATGGGGCAGCCGGGCTCCAGCGCGCCCAGCGGCCCCGCGGACGCCGAGTGCGCCATCTGCGAGCCGGGCGGCGGGGGGCGGCGGGGCGCGGGGGCAGCGCGCCCGCACCGAGACCGCGGGCGGCGAGCCTAGAACTGACACTCGGCGGCGGCCGCCGCGGCGGCAGCAACAAAAACCGAGGGGGGGGGCCAGGAAATCAGCTGTGAGGTCACGTGCCGCCCGCAGCCACTGGGCGCGCCGCCTTTTTGTTTTGATACATTCCTTCCGACTCTTAAAGGGGCCGCGCGCCTCGGCGGCAGCGTTGCACTCGCACTTCCAAACAAAACAACACGCGCGCGCGTGCGCGCCCGGGGGGCCTCGGCCACTCTTCCTCCTCTCGGTGTTTGGCCCAGAAGTGGCCTGGGGATTTCTGCAAGGGCCCCCTCTCAAAAGGATGGAGCACTCTGTGGGGAAATTCGAATAATCCCCATGAGGGTCACCAAGGCCACCTAAGGTCGTCAGGCCACCCTTGTTCTGGGAAGGGTCTGTGCATTGGCAAAGCTCCAGGAAGTGCGCAGTGCAATTTCTCATCACCAGCCTGAAAAATAGGTATGCTCGAAACTTTCAAGAGAGCATACGAGATCTGGGCCTCTGGGCAAACGGATGCCATGGGCCCATGTTCACCGGCGCTACTAGGAAAGGGTTATCCTGAGACGCTTTTGGGGGATGGGGTGAAAAGTCACCTCCCCGCAAAAGAGGACAGGAAGTGTCCCTACAGATCCTCCAATTATTTCCTCGTATGGGAGAACTGGAGACGCAGGGACTCGTTTGAGAACACACAGGATTCCCATGGCCCAGGCTTCCTCTTGGAAGGGGGTCTTGACTAGCGCCGCCCCCCACCCCCAATCCTTCTCCTGTCCTGCACATACCTAAAGCTGTCTCCCCCCACCCCTAGCAGAGCACTGAATCACTTGGCTACTGGTTACTTGGACTAGTTTGTTAATTCGGGGGTAAACATGACCACCACCCTAGTCAAGATACAAAACACTTGTGGTTTTTCTCGGAACCCTTCTAATCAGTGCCCCACCCTTTGAGGTAATCACTATCATCGACACTGGACAGCCTTGACTAATTTGCTTTTTGGAGCCCTTCCTATTAACAGGATCCCACGGTTTGGACTTTGGGGATGAGGGTGCAGGTTCCTCTCTTGGTGCTGATCTGTAGTAGGCCCCCAGGGCTAGATTCGGTGGGGCACCAATACGGTGCTTGGATAGACCCCAGCTGGGATCCGTCAGAGGCAAGGCATATGCTCTGCTGTCTGTATTCTATCCCTGACTAGCTTGCACATTTTACTCTCTGGTTTCTTTCTCTCTGGGGGGCAGAGGGCCTTCCTCAGCAGTGCTGGAGTGCTAGGTCTGGAAACCATGTGCATGCCAGGCATGTGTTTCAGCCCTTTGAGCCCTCTTCCTGGAACCTCTCTCCTTTAAAAAAAAGAAGAAGAAAAAGAAGAAAAGAAAGGAAAGAAAGAAAGAAAGAAAGAAAGAAGGGAAGAAAGAAAGAAAGAAAGAAAGAAAGAAAGAAAGAAAGAAAAGATCAGGTGGCCAGAATGATAGTATAATGGGGAGGGCATTTACCTTGCACATGGCTGACCCAGATTCCATCCCAGGCATCTCGTATGGTCCCTTGAGCACTGCCAAGAGTAATTCCTGAGTGCAGAGCCAGGAGTAAGCCCTGAGCACTGCCAGGTGTGACCCAAAACAAAAAAATCAATAAATTCAAATTTCAAAAAGATCAATCCCATGCCACCTCCCACAGCCTCTCTTCCCTTTGTTGTTGCTGGGTTGGGGGCTAGGGAGGACCCTTGGCTGTGGTGTTTGCAGTTGTGGCTGGGGATCTCCTGGGATAGTGGGGTCCCTGGGGCAGCTCCTTTAGCTCACCCACACGCTTGGGCCCTAGTGCCCAGTTTCTTCTGTTCAACATTTTCTCTCTGAGATTCTTCTGGATTGTTGTAAGTATCTTTTCCATCCCGGGTGGTGGCCCATTGCTTGTATATACCATGGTTTATGTGTCCATTTATTCATGAACAATGAACTCTGTCCATGATTTGGAAACTATTATTCATTATTACTGATACTATTTGACTGTTATCAATAAGTCTGCCACAGATGTTCTTGAACATGTGTTTTGGTGACTGCCTTTTGGTTGGATTGCTATCAGGAATGGATCACTGGTTTCTGTTTGTTTTGGTGCCAAGTTTCCTACCCAGGGCTGCCTGCAGCAAAGCAGACTTACATGCCCGGTCCCTGTCCTGGATCTGATAGTAGGTGTCTATAGTGGAATGAGAAATGGCCAGGGGCTGGAGCAATAGTACAGTGGGTAGGGTGTTTGCCTGGCACAACTCTGCAGGCTACTGACCCTGCTTCAGTCCCCAGCACCTCATATGGTCCCTGGAACCCTGCCAAGAGTGATTCCTGAGCGTAGAGCCAGGAGTAAACCCTGAACGCAGCTGGTGTGACCCAACACCCTCCCTTCTACCTCCCCCCTCCCCCCACAAAAGAAAGAGCAAGGTTTTATTTCAAGGTGGTGGACCCACTTTGCCCTCCTAAATGCTGAGTTTCACTGGTGCCAGCCTCTTGGGGCTTGTTCCCTGAGCCCTCTGGTCTGTTTCATCGTGCGTGGGACCAACAGGGGTACAGGGCCTATGTCCCAAGGACTCTCATCACCTCTGCCTGACGTGGAACCTTCTCACAGGCTCCATGGCCATCTGGAGATCTACTTTTGTCAAGGATCTGTATAAAAATGTTCCTTTTTCCCTTTTTTTTTCTTCGATTTTTTTTAAAATTCTTTTTATAGTTTGGTTCTGCACCCTTTGTCAGAGATGTTTATTGAGACGATCCTAGCACATAGTTTGTTTTTAAACAAGTGGGTGTTAAACAGCATTCAGAAACAAAACAAGGTTGAGGAGTGAGTCATAAAACAAGGAGACCAAAGGGGATCCTGAGGTCAGAGGGGCCTTGGCCAAGTGAGTCAGGGCTGCCTTGATTGTGTGCAAGCCTTCTGTGACCTTGGGATGTCTTCAAAGATCTGAGGGGGAGAGGAGTTCATAATAATATTCTGGAAATCCCATGAATACTCCACGCTATTTCTCACTTTAAGTTTTTTGGTTTTGGCTTTTTGGGTCACACTAGCAATATTCAGGGGTTACTTCTGTCTCTGCACTCAGGGATTATTCCTGGTGGTGCTCGGGGATCAAACCTCGCTCAGCTGTGTGCAAGGCAAATACTTTACCTGCTGCTCTATTGTTCCATCTCCACCTTTAGATGTAATGCTGCTCAAGGGTCTCACCTCCTTTGGGAAACCCAATGTGGGTCCCAGGCAGATTGCTCTCTCTAAGATCCTGGCAGGACCTGGTGCATGCCAGGCCTGGCACAGGAGGCTAGGATCCTACTGTTCTGCACCCTCTCCCTTCCCCCTACCTTAAAATCTGCATGAACTTGTTGAGGTCTATTTTTTTTTCTTTTTGGGTCACACCTGGCGATGCACAGGGGTTACTCCTGGCTCTGAACTCAGGAATTATCCCTGGCAGTGCTCAGGGGACCATATGGGATGCTGGGAATCGAACCTGGGTCGGGCGCGTGCAAGGCAAACACCCTCCCTGCTGTGCTATTGCTCCAGCGCTACTTGTTGAGGTCTTTAAATACTGCATAAATCCTTTGTGGAACAAGGTACTGGTACAATCAAAGAATAAAGTGAGGGAAGTAATTCCTGAGTGCAAAGCCAGGAGTAACCCCTATGCATTGCCGGGTGTCACCCAAAAAGCAAAAAAATAAAAAAATAAAATAAAAAAATAAAGCGAATCATTATTATTATTTGCTGAGTTAAGTCACTTTGCTCTATCTTTCAACCCTAGAATATGCTGGTAACAGAAGAGATCTTCGGTTGCTGAGTGAATGTTTGAAAGCCAAAATAGGTCCCGGAAGTCTTCGGAGTAGAGCCTGGATCTTATGTCTCCATGTCTGGGACCTAGATCTGGTAAGTACATATGGAGACTGGGACAAGCACGAGTGTGTGTGTGTGTGTGTGTGTGTGTGTGTGTGTGTGTGTGTGTGATGTTTATTCAATTATTGATTAACTTAGAATTTTTTGTTTTTGTTTATAGACCACAACATGATGCTCAGAGGTAACTCTTGGCTCTGAACTCAGGAATCATTCTCAGCAGTGCTTGGGGGTGCGGATCAGATGTCAGGGATTGAACCCAGGTTAGCCACATGCAAGGCAATGGTCCTACCTGCTTACTATTGCTACAGCTCCAGCTTAAAAATATTTCTTAAGCACCTATAGTTTGCTAGGCACCATTCCAGGGAATCGCAATAATGAACTCAACAGCCCAAACTTTTTGCCCTTCAGACACATAGAGGCTTGGAGAGGGAGAGGCAAGAAGCAAAGAAGGAAATAAGTAAATGGATGAAGGGCCTGCCATGTAGCACAGAGGTAGCGTGCTGGCCTTGCATGTAGCAGACTTGGGTTCCATCTTCGACAACCTGTATGGTTCCCAGAGTCCTGTCAGGAATGATTTCTGAGCACAGAGCGAGGAGTAAGCCACGAGCACAGGACTTTTGTGGCCCCACAAAACAGAAATAAAATAAATGATGGAGGGAGACACATGCCCCAGTGAGGGATTCCACTTGAAGGGGTTTCAGAAAAGGGTGATCAGACAAACCTCATCCTGCTTGGGTTTTATTTTTCAATAACATGTTCGCACCAGGGCTTCAATTTGTGTTAATTAAGCCACAGCCAAGTATAACCCACTGGGGGAACATGCTGGTGTCAGGTGTTAATGTAAAAAAAAAAAATCTTGAAGTGAGGGAGAGAGTCGGGAAATACTTCAGAAGAGTAAACAGTGGAGAGGGCAGGCAGAGAATAGGATCTGGGTAGCACTGCACTGTCCTCCCATTGTTCATCGATTTGCTCAAGCGGGCACCAGTAATGTCTCCATTGTGAGACTTGTTACTGTTTTTGGCATATCGAACATGCCACGGGGAGCTTGCCAGGCTCTGCCATGCAGGTGGGATACTCTTGGTAGCTTGCTGGGCTCTTCG